CATACTTATTGGTATCATGGAAGAAGTTGATTATTGCTATGTTGGAAGATGACCATCAGGAATATGACCATCATTTCAGCAGTTGTGTAGACGACGGGCTGAGTGATGACCCAATGAAATCAAATGAATTAAATTAAAATTTATGCAAGTATAAATGACATTTTTAAAATTATAGATATTGTGTAAGAAATAATTAAAATTATTCATATGATTATACAAAAAAATGAATGAAATATATGCTTGTTATTATTTATTGTATTCATACCCCTGTGGATGTCTCATATGATGAAAGCTTACTTGCGTTATGTACTGTGGTCACTCAAGTTTGAAATAGTTGAGCATGCACGTTGCTCTTTTTCCGTCTATAAAATCTTGCTTTAGTTTTTATTATTTCACAGAGTTTGTAGCTTACCCTTATATGTTATTAATTTTTAGAAAGAAGTAATGTGATTGACCAGATGTGATATTATATAACTTTTGAATTATATAATTTTAGAAGTTGTAAAGTTTTTTGGGTATCTATCTTTTTGTATGTTTGAATTTTTTTAGCAACTTTTTAAATGCAACTGGGCAATTTACCAGGTGTAGTATAGCACAACTTTTGGATTATATAATTTTGGAAGTTGTAAATTTTTTTTGTTTGAATATAGACTTGCTTCTTGCAATTGTCCTTCTTTTCTATTCTTCTCCCCATTTAAACCGTGATCGAGTTTGTACCGCTGCAAATATTTACTACTGCAAAACTCGAGTTGATTGCTTTCTCTTGTAGATGACTTTTTGTGACCTCCATCAAGAGCTATGGATGACTATTTCACTACTAAACAACTATGAGCAGCTTACTCTATTATAGATTTGTGATTGAGCTTGTTTTGCCTCCACCATTATCATTGCCATCCAATTATTTGGAGAAGATTTTCAGTATTTGTGGGATAGCTGTAACTATTTGAAGAAATAGTTGTGAAGTTGTTGTCTAGAGAATCTGTTTTGAAGCTGTTGGAGTCTGTTTGGATAATTCAAATATGAAACTGCTCTGTTTCAGTTGTTTCTGAAATAAAGACTATATTACCTTTGCAGTTTCAGAAGTTCAAACAGAACACCAAAACTATATTTCAAAATATTACTAGCCAGAGATTTAAATATTACGTTAAAAGTTATATATCACTTAACACTAATAAATAACACAAATTATAATTAAAATATGAACAAGTAATATTATTATAATATCAGTATTCTCCACACGTTGTCCTTATATGAAGTGGACTTCTCATCGTCCTCAGCCCATCTAAAAAAGTCACAATCATTAAATGTTCTATTTCTTGGAGACCTATAAAATCTTCTCTCATTGCTCGCTTCTTGTCGAGACATGTATACACAATATTATAAACAGCAGTTGCAGTACACAATTCTAGAGCTAGTAGAATTTCTTGAACTCATATTTGTGATAATGTATGGTTTAAGTTTAGATTTATGTTAAAATGAGAAAATAGAAGAGAAAATAACATACATCAAATGATGTGTGTGATAGAATAAATAAAAAAAATTAATGTCTCACAGTCAATATAAAGAAATGAATAAAGATGGAAATCTTGAGAGTTTATTACCAAACTCGTATATGTCAGAAACAAATCAGCATAAAGACGATCCAAAAGTACTTCTATGATCATATGTCTCTTCATAGACCCCAAGAAAATAAAAATAAAAAAAATTGTTCACAGGTACCTTTGAACACTGAAAACTGTAAATGGAAGTACTTAGCTTCCTGAACTTCATAAAATAATGGACAACACATCCATAGATGTATGCATAATAATCTCATTAACACATATTTTGTAAGAAAATATTATTACCATATAACTGTTATAGTTACTTTACAACCATAACACATGATCAACTCTAATGTTCAAACATAAATAAATATAGGGCTCAAATCATAGAAGGAAAAATATGCATCAACCAACATTTTTTAATCCTTAGTAAAAATCATAATTCATCTCAAAAGAAACTACAGAATTTTTCTTACAAAAACCTACTTTCATCTTTGATTTGCTTCTTCATTTGATCAGTTATAGATATTTGATGCATTCACTAAAGTACTCTTGATTTGTTCCCTCAATTGAATCATCTTCTGAGTCAGGTGTCTCAAAATCATTAACTCATGAATCTTCCTCTAGTGATGATTGTCATGTATGATGCTCGAATGTTTCGACATGTATGCAGGTGGGGTCTTCATTTAAGATCCTGAAGTCCGCATCATCTCGAGATGAATGTTTGCGTGTATGACTTCTTTTTTCCTATACATTGATTGTTCTTTCAAGTACACTCCATAATAAATAAATGTCACTTATTAAATAATTTATTATTACCTCTAATCACTTGAATGCTACGTTTGAAATCAGGAATGTGGTACTTCGTATCAAGAAAAGAATTTAGAAAACCTTCGTTATCTAAGCATATGCTCTTGCGGTCACATTATTAGAAAAGGAAGACAAAGCAGAAAACAAAATTTTATCTACCCAATCAATGCATGCTCACGATAATGGAATCGTCTAAAAGCTTCTTCATATTACTCACATTAATCGATTGACAAAACAATGACAAATCTTTCAATCTTTTATATAGATCAACCAATAGTCTCACGGCCACTTAAAATTTTTTTTAGAACCTTAGATTGATCAATCAACAAAAAACCAAAAAATAAAACCTTCAGCACATCAAAAAATCATTATGTTTTTCACGAGCAAACAAAAAAATGCTTTTATTTTTCATATGAATCAAACAAATAGAGATGCGAGCAAAGTCCTCGACATTCAAAATGCTTTCGTTTTTCACCGCCACTTAGAAATCCTTTTGTTTCTCACATTGATCAACTAACAAAGACCCAAGAAAAAGCTCTTTGCACTCAAAATGATTTTGTTTTTTACTTCCATTGAACATTTCTTTAGAATATCACATTGATAAACCAACAAAAACTCAAAAAAGGCCCTTGACACCCAGAAAATGCTTATGTTTGTTTACAGGCAACTAGAAATGCTTTCGTTTCTTGCATAAATTAACCAACAAGGATGCAAGAGAAGCCTTCGGCACAAAATTTTTTCGTTTTTAACGTGCAACTAAAAAATTATATTGTTCTTATAGAAATCAACCAACAGAGATGCAAGAAAAGCTATTGACACTAAAAAAGACCTTTCATTTTCCACCGAGCAACTAAAAACTCTTTCATTTTCACATAAATTAACAGAGATGCAAGATAAGCTAAACTCAAGTATTCAAATAGATGCAGAAAGATACAAAAATTTAAACCAATGATGCAATTTGTAAAGTAAAGAAAGCTAAAACCCACCAGGAGCAAAGAATTGGAGACAGAAGAAGTGATGGGGAAAAGAAGTGGTGCACAGAGCTTCGACCGACGTCGAAATAGAGAAAACCCTAGGGTGCGAAACACTGACTGCCTTTGATTTTTTATCGGTTAGGCGGGTAATTTTGTGGAATGACTGAGGGTGACAATGTTATTTTCCAATCTGTGCCGCGGGGCATTTGGGGAGCACAAGCGACTCCCTCTGTTTGTAAAATGTCAGTACACGTCCATAAATTTATAAAAAACCCATCGAAACGCCGCGCCCCAATCGCCTCCCTCGCTGCTTTTCGAAACAGAAAGCAGCTGTGAAGCTGCGCCTAAGTCACCTTTTGTTTTGGTCCAGGTTAATGATACAGTGCAATCATGACATTAGGAACCGAGCCTACGGAAAATGATTCTATTGTTATACTGTTCGATATTGATGTTGCTATTGAATTGAACTTTTTCCTTCATTCAATCTCACTTTCTTATATCCATTCCACCCTCTTTTGTCTTCTCTTCTTCCATTCTTATTCTACTCTTTTCTTGTTATTTCTATTCTCTCTTCCATCATCAGCACCTCATGTGGACCTTCATTCAGCTTATATTTAACAACATTTTTCATTTTCCTAGAAAAAAAAAACGTTCACATATAGAATCCTTGTCATCCACACCTTCCCAAGCATTTATAACTACAAAGATATTTGTAACCAAAACATTGTCTATCTGGATTAGTAGTTTGTCACTCGAAGTTTATCTTTCCAATGTTGTAGACTATCAGTGTGTAGTGGATGAGATATAACTGGACGTTTTTAGTAACCAAAACATTGTCTATCTGGATTAGTAGGCTATCAGCATGTAGTGGATAAGATATAACTTGGCATTTTTACCCTGATAATGAAGGCTTTTAAATTAAATTTTCACCCTCGGACTATGTTCATTGTTAATCGCAATAATTCTTAGAGTGTTTAAGTTGATATTTAGATTCAATAAAATCATTCTAAGGGTTTGTTTGGGGCAGTTGTGTTTGTGAGGCTGCTGCAAAAGAAATTATTTTTAAAAAATTTGTGGTTGCTATTACAAATTTATTTTATTTTTAAAATGTCATGTCGTAGATTTTCTAGCAATCACCACGTTTCAACAACTCGGGCTAAAAAAAACAGCCTTATGTCACAAATATTTCTAATAAACAGCGAGAAAGCAATTTTCAAAATATAATTGTGGTGGCGATTTGAAAAGCAAAGCAGACAGAATGCTAACAGGCCCTAAATTTTGAATAATTTCGTAATTATCAGTTTTTCACTTGGCAGAAAGTTGAATAATTTTATATTTGTATAAACTAGGATAGTTTTTAGCTGAAATATCTACCTTTTTTTTTTTCGGTTTTCTATTCTGACCTTTACCATATCATCTAGAGTGTTTGGCTTTCTACCTTTTGTTTTATTCCTGTTCTTTTTTATTTTTTAAGAGATATCTCTGACATGTACACGGCCTTAGAATCGGCCTGTAGGAAATATAGGTAAAATTAGATGAAATCAAGCATCATAATAACCTGATACATGATTATTTACAAGGCAGGAAGAGTTATTGAAATGGTTTCTTAGGCTTCCTTTTTCTTTTATGATAGTTATGAATTAATTAATATGTTCACATTACATTGCTACAGGTTGCCAGGAAGCACCCCAACAACCGGCGTAAGCGTGAAGAATGTGTCCGGATGCCAGAAGTTTCCTACAAATTTTCTTCTCTAGTTGATTTTTTTTTTCTTCTTCTTTTGTTTCTCTTGCATAGATCTCAAAACTTTTTCATTTCTACTCAATTCATAAGAGAGATATTGATATTGATTTGTAACCGTGCTGCGATGATGCTTTTGCCAATATATTCTTTCATATCTACTCAATTCATTGGAGATATATTGATATTGATTTCTAATCCTGTGATCCAATAATGTTTTTGTCAATTTGTTTTTGTTTTTTTTTTTTTTTTTGCATGAATTTCTGTCGTGCATCTCATTTTCGATCGCTGAGATCGAAGTTAAAAATAATGGTAATGTTTTGAAAGTCGATGATACCAATATTGATAAGTCTATTTAAGAAGAATATATTACGTGCGGACAATGGTCCGGTTGAGCCTCCATGCTGGACCATGCTATACAAGTTGGCATGGCCTCATCCAGACCATGGTCCGGTCAGCTGCATTTAATTTTTTTTCCCCCCGTTCAAGGCAGCTTTTGGACTTTTATGGTTTATAAAATTGTTATAGTTCTATTTAGATATACTATTCTTGTGTTTTTTTTTTTTTTTTTTTTTGGGAGGAAAGATATGATGAAAAGCATGTTTTTTCAACGAAGTTAGCACAATCGATCCTTCTATTTTCAACTTAGGAAAATATTGTGCTCTTAGTAGCTTTAAAAAATATATTTATTATATAAGAATTAAACATCTATTCTTGAAAATAGTTAGTGTTGCTTCTAATACACCTTTAATAGCTAGGGTTGTAAAAGAGCCGAGTTTGAGCAAGCTCAGGTTTGGCTCGTCTTCGGCTCATTCGAAATTGTCCGTGTTCGAAATTGACTCGTGTTCGAAACTGGCTCTTGAACAGTGTGTTCGTGTTCGGTTTGATTTAAATATTTGTGTTTGTGTTCGGCTTGAAATTGATTCGTTAAAATTAAATTGAAAAAATAGATGTATAGTGTTGGATTCGAATTTGGACCAAATGTAAGCAAAAGAAGACGCATAAACACATTACCACATGAGCAATTATGTTTTAAACTTAGATACAAGTATATATAATATATTATTATATTAATAATATATGTAATATATTATTATTTAAATAATTATTTTTTTTTTTTTTTCAAGCTAAAATGAGCCAAATAAGAGCGAACAAAGAGTTGTTCGTGTTCGGCTCATTTATAATTCTAGTGTTAAAAACTTGTTTGTGTTCGGCTTGTTTACTTAATGAACAAGTCGAACACGAGTTACTTAACGAGCCGAACACGAGCTGTTCGCGAACAACGATCTTTTTTTAAAGCCCTATTAATAGCAGACATCTGAGATTCATGGTCGAGGCTGATTCCTTGAACGGGATACCTCCAAAGATTAAGCTATCGCGAACCCTGTGTTTCCCATGTTTCAGGCTCAGCTATGTATTGTGTTGGATGACTAGTTAGCTATCGGTTTTTTATTTTATATTTTTTATTTCATTAAGTTGGCTATCATTTAAAGAGATTGGTAATTGAATGGGGAGTGATGTTGGGTGAGAACTTTTTTTATGACTGACAGTTGCGTACTGTATCAATAAACGGGGATTGGGTCCTCTTAATAATTTTAGATTGTCGTCATTGAACTTAGAAAAGTCCATGTGATTAAATAAATAATAGATTCAATCTTGGCAATACAAAATAGATTTTAGGAGCCGAATTGAATGATAGAAGTTCTTTGGTTAGTTGAACTCAAACTAGAGATCGACTCCTAATAGCAACAAGTGAGTAGCGGTTAGCAATTTAGTGATAAATGTTTAGAAAGTTAGGATTCCCAATCAAGGGAGGACATATTTTAGGAGGGCAATTTGTTTTTTTGTCTATCTTAAATTATCACTCTGTTCTTTATTGCTCTTGTCTATCTTAGTTGAGCCTAGGCCCCCAAAAAGAAGTTGATTTCAACTCTGCTGGGGAGGACATATTTAAGGAGGGCAATTTGATTTTTTGTCTATCTTAAATTATCACTTTGTTCTTCATTGCTCTTGTCTATCTTAGTTGAGTCTAGGCCCCCAAAAAGAAGTTGATTTCAACTCTGCTCTTAATGCTTGATGTGAGAGGCATGACTAAATTTAAATCCTAACATAGTGACTTGGATGAGAAGAGAGCCAAATAAGGTTTGCTGTTTATATCAAATCACCATAAGCCTTAGCATGGCCTTGGGTCCGTCACACCATGGGATGAGATCAGATAAGCTACGTGCATATGGAGAACAAAAACTATGAGCCTAATAAGCCTGAATAGAAAAGAAATATTGGACAGAATTTATTCAAAATGTAAGATTCAAAAGATAAGAAAAAACAATAAAAAAAGATAATTAGATGATTTACCTAGTATATGATTTCGGATAGTAGTCTATTCTAGATGTGCCACCTCTGGGTATATATTTGAAAAGATATATGTACGTTTTTTTTATTATTTTCTGCCGAAAGAAAGTCTGAATTGTCAAATTGGGAGTTGGCAATTTCAAAGCTTTGAATATAGTCAAAGCTTTAATTTTGATATTTTTGAAAGAAAAGAGTTGGCAATTTCAGAGCTTTGAATATAGTCAAAGCTTTAATTTTAATAGTTTAGGAAGAAAAAAAAAAGGCATTTACATACACATCACTTAATTTCTATGTATTTACATATCTAATTTTTAAATTTAACTTTTAAAAAGTGAGACATACACACACACACAAACTCACGCAAATTATCAGCACGAATCTCAAGACAATCTAACGGTTCAAATTAAAAAAGATATGTTGAGAATCTTTCTGGCAAAAAGTTGCAAGGTCTCATTAATCAGACCGGTTGAAGACCACCCAACCAACTGATATCCATCTAACTTAAAGGCTATCGATTGACTGAATGTTAGAAGATCAAAGGGACACCCAAGCCAACACGGGACATGCTTCAATCTTGATCCCTCTAAAGAAAATGACAAGACAAAGGTTTATCACCCCCCAACAACCTATCAAGCATCAACATAAAGCTCCCTCAACAGCTCCCCAAATGATCACAAGAGATCACCAAGGAATAGTAATCAAGCAAGTTGGTCGACCGCCAAAAGCCAACTAGCTAACACACTAAAAAATTGACCAGCTTCTGAGAGCGAATGTCGACTAGTGTCCAAATGAAAGTCAACTGAAACCAGCTCAGTTGGCCGACTGATGACCTGCCTAGCATAAGGTCTGAGTGGGCAAAAAGATAAATATACTGTGTATAACTCCTATAGCGCAGAGCTAAAACATACAATTTTGCAATTTTGTCCCTCTATTTTTTTATAAATAAGATGATCACACCTTTTATTAAGGGCTATTGGGCCTTATATCTAACTCCTCTTATGTATAAAACTCTCTTCCCTTCTCTTATAACTTCTTCTTCTAATATATAAAATGGGTCACAAAGCCTGGGAGTACCTCAGTCTGCCTCAAAAGGGCAACTCGTTGCATACTCTCTCCTTCTCTCTCTGTCTCTCTACCTCTCCCTCACGGTTTGTACATGTCTCACAAGACAAAATTGGATTCAACATTTTATAAGGTACGGTGAGTGTAGAGCATGCCACCAACAAGAAAGGAAGCAACACCAACGAGGATAAATGAACTCCATAATCACTCCTAATAGGGAGCACTCCAAGTTTGATCGACGATATCCAACAACGATAGGTCGACTCTGGGCGGCTAACACCTAGCTTAGCGAATTAAAGGAGCATCATTTCAAAACATATATTTTTTGTTATCACATGAATATTTTTAATTTTTTTCCAGATCTGACTGACACTCAGGGAACTTGAACCTAAACAGTGATGCCGACAACAACCAAAAAGATGTTTGGTCAGTAGAACAGCCCACAATGCCCCTGCATAGTAAATATTGGTCTCCAAACTTGAATTGGATAAAGCACTGGAGGTGGTTCCTTACCCAGTAGTGATAAGCTCTGCGAAGGGTACGACGCAAATCACTATAGCTGTGAGTTTGGCAGTTACACCTGTGAAAGGTAGCAATAAGATGTGTCTAACTCATGACAAAGAGTGAGGCTCAAATGAGGCGACATTCCGACTAAGCAACCAAGACCTTTAAAATTGTAAGAAGTGAGACAAGCACCAAGACCATGATAAACTAACGACAACATAACAGGCATCCCATTGATAAAAAATAAAAAAAAGACTGACAATAAAGTTATAGAGGTCTGATAGGCGTTGTAACACAATATCTGACCCTCAATGTCGAGAATCAAATAACCTATTCCTCAAAGCTCAAAGTGGATAAAACTTTGGAGGTGGTTCCCAGCTCTGTAGCGATAAGCTCTGTGAATGGCACATCGCAAATCACCCTTCTAGCGAGTCTCGTCGGTTGCACCTGCAAAATCAACGATATGATTTACCTAAGCTCTGGCAAAAGGTGTGGTCTGACCAAGATGTCAATCCATTCTAGCAACTAGGATAGGAAATGTAAGGCTTATGTTGGATCATGACATAAAAAGAAAACGACCAACTATCTTTCCTAAGATATGAGTCATCAACTAATATCATTATTCATCATCATCCAATTATCGCCAAAAAATAGTGCGATAAAAGTCAAATAACAAAAGAAGCAAAGATAAAACAAAAATGTTTGAAAGCTTCATTCATTCCTAACTATAAAAAATACACAAGTTCTTCTATATAAAAGGTTTCATTTACAAAAAAAATGTCCTTACAAAAGTCTTTCTATAAAATTTTTTTGAGCTTCATGGGGTCAACTAAAGTTCAGAGTGGATGACCTCCATCACCTCCAAGGTTTGAATCGTCTCTCGAAGATCCCTTAGAGTTGGTATACAGCACAATAGATTAATCCAAGTTTGCAAACCAAATTATTTGGTTGATCATCGTGACTCTATTGAACACAATAGATTAATCCAAGTTTGCAAACTTGGGGTCAATAAGGCCCGACCAAATTATTTGGTTGATCATCGTGACTCTATTGACCAGAAGTGGCTAGCTCGAAATATTTTCCTAATTCAA